ACATGGAGGACGACGAACATGGAGGACGACACGGGGAGGACGACGAACATGGAGGACGACACACATGGAGGACGACGAACTATGGAGGACGACGGACATGGAGGACGACACACATGGAGGACGACACATGGAGGACGACAAACATGGAGGACGACAAACATGGAGGACGACACACACATGGAGGATGACACAATGGAGGATGACACACATGGAGGACGAACACATGGAGGACGACACAATGGAGGATGACACATGGAGGACGACGGACATGGAGGACGACACATGGAGGACGACACATGGAGGACGACAGACATGGAGGATGACTGACATGGAGGACGACACATGGAGGGACGACACACACATAGATCACGACGAACATGGAGGACGACGAACATGGAGGACGACACACATGGAGGACGACACACATGGAGGACGACACACATGGAGGACGACACACACATAATTACGACGAACATGGAGGACGACACATGGAGGACGACAAACATGGAGGGACAGGAGAAATGGAGACGACACACTGGAGGACGACACACATGGAGGACGACAGACATGGTACGGCGAACATGGAGGACGACAAACATGGAGGACGACACACATGGAGGACGACACACATGGAGGACAGCGGACATGGAGGACGACACACATGGAAGGACGACACACAATGGAGGACGACACACATGGAGGACGACACACATGGAGAGGACGGCACACATGGAGGACGACACATGGAGGACGACACACATGGAGACGACACACATGGAGGGACGACACACATGGAGGACGACACACATGGAGGGACGACACACATGGAGGACGACACACATGGAGGACGACACACATGGAAGGACGACACATGGAGGATGACCACATGGAGGACGACACATGGAGGACGACACACATGGAGGACGACACACATGGAGGACGACACACATGGAGGACGACACACATGGAGGACGACACACATGGAGGACGACAAGCATGGAGGATGACAAACATGGAGGACGACACACATGGAGGACGACACACATGGAGGACGACACACATGGAGGACGACACACATGGAGGACGACACACATGGAGGACGACACACATGGAGGACGACACATGGAGGACGACATGGAGGACGACACACATGGAGGACGACACACATGGAGGACGACGAACATGGACGACGAACATGGAGGACGACACATGGAGGACGACACACATGGAGGGACACACATGGAGGACACACACATGGAGGACGGCACACATGGAGGACGACACACATGGAGGACGACACACATGGAGGACGACACACATGGAGGACGTGCACACATGGAGGACGACACACATGGAGGACGACACACGGGAGGACGACACATGGAGGACGACACATGGAGGACGACACACATGGAGACGACACACATGGAGGACGACACATGGAGGACGACACATGGAGGACGGCACACATGGAGGACGACACACATGGAGGATGACACACATGGAGGACGACACATGGGGACGACACATGAAGGACGACACACATGGAGGTGACACACATGGAGGATGACGACACATGGAGGACGACACACATGGAGGACGACACACATGGAGGACGACACACATGAAGGACGACACACATGGAGGACGACACACAGAGGACGACACACGGGAGGACGACAAACATGGAGGATGACAAACATGGAGTACGACACACATGGAGGGACGACACACATGGAGGACGACACACATGGAGGACGACACACACATGGAGGACGACACACATGGAGGACGACGAACATGGACGGACGGAACATGGAGGGACGACACATGGAGGACGACACAATGGAGGACGACACAATGGAGGACGACACACATGGAGGACGACACACATGGAGGACGACACACATGGAGGACGTCACACATGGAGGACGACACACATGGAGGACGACACACATGGAGGGACGACACACATGGAGGACGACGAACATGGAATACGACGAACATGGAGGACGACAAACATGGAGGACTGACACACATGGAGGACGACAACATGGGACGGCGGACATGGAGGACGTGACACACATGGAGGACGACACATGGAGGACGACACATGGAGGACGACACACATGGGGACGACACACACATGGAGGACGACACACATGGAGGACGACACATGGAGGACGACACACATGGAGGACGACACATGAGAGGACGACACATGGAGGACGAACATGGAGGACGACACACATGGAGGACGACACACATGGAGGACGACACACATGGAGGGACGACACATGGAGGACGACACACATGGAGGACGACACACATGGAGGACGACACACATGGGGGACGACACATGGAAGGACGACACACATGGAGGACGACACACATGGAGGATGACACATGGAGGACGACACCATGGAGGACGACACACATGGAGGACGACACGACATGGAGAGACGACACATGGAGGACGACACACATGGAGGACGACACACATGGAGGACGACAAACATGGAGGATGACAAACGTGGAGGACGACACACATGGAGGACGACACACATGGAGGACGACACATGGAGGACACGACACATGGAGGACGCATGAAGGACGACACACATGGAGGACGACACGCATGGGGACGACACACATGGAGGACGACACATGGAGGACGACACATGGAGGACGACACACATGGAGGACGACACACATGGAGGACGACACATGGAGGACGACACCATGGAGACGACACATGGAGGACGACACATGGAGGACGACACATGGGGACGACATGAGGACGTCATGGAGGACGGCACACATGGAGGACGACACACATGGAGGACGACACACATGAGGACGACACACATGGAGGACGACACACATGGAGGACGACACATGGAGGGACTGACACACTGGAGGATGACACACATGGAGGACGACACACATGGAGGACGACACACATGGAGGACGACACACATGGAGGACGACACACATGGAGGATGACACACATGGAGACGACACACATGGAGGGACGACACACATGGAGGACGGCACATGGAGGACGACACATGGAGGACGACACACATGGAGGACGACACACATGGAGACGACAACATGGAGGATGACAAACATGGGTACGAACACATGGAGGACGACACATGGGGACGACACACATGGAGGACGACACACATGGAGGACGACACACATGGAGGACGACGACATGGAGACGAACATGGAGGACGGCACACATGGAGGACGACACATGGAGGACGACACACATGGAGGACGACACACATGGAAGGACGACACACATGGAGGACGACACATGGAGGACGACACACATGGAGGACGTCACACATGGAGGACGACACACATGGAGGACGACACACATGGAGGACGAGCACATGGAGGACGACACATGGAGGACGACACACATGGAGACGACACACTAAGGAGGACGTCACGCGGAGGACGACACATGAGGGACGACACATGGAGGACGACACATGGAGGACGACACACATGGAGGACGACACACATGGAGGACGACACACATGGAGGACGACACACATGGAGGATGACACACATGGAGGACGGACATGGGAGGACGACACACATGGGAGGACGACACATGGAGGACGACACACACATGGAGGACGACACACATGGAGGACGACACACATGGAGGGATGACACATGGAGGACGACACACATGGAGGACGACACACATGGAGGACGACACATGGAGGACGACACACATGAGGACGACACATGGAGCCTTGGGGATGACACATGGAGGACGACACATGGAGACGACACACATGGAGGACGACACACATGAAGGACGACACACATGGAGGACGACGGACATGAAGGACGACACACATGGAGGACGACACACATGAAGAACGACACACATGGAGGATGACACACTGGAGGACGACACACATGGAGGATGACACACATGGAGGACGACACACGTGGAGGACGACACACATGAAGGACGACACACATGGAGGACGACACACGCATGGAGGACGACACACATGGAGGACGACACACATGGAGGACGACACACACGGAGGACGACTGTGGACCATGGACCATGGATCATGGACCGCAGTTCACTGACCCTGGACCATGGACCGTGGATCATGGACGCGCAGTTCACTGACCTGGACCATGGACCGTGGATCATGGACGCAGTTCACTGACCCTGGATCATGGACCATGGATCGCGCCAGTTCACTGACCCTGGACCATGGACCATGGATCATGGACCGCAGTTCACTGACCCTGGATCATGGACGTGGATCATGGACGCGGTTCACTGACCCTGGACCATGGACCATGGATCAGGACCATCACTGACCCTGGATCATGAACGTGGATCATGGACCGCAGTTCACTGACCTGGACCATGGACCATGGATCATGGACCGCAGTTCACTGACCCTGGATCATGGACCGTGGATCATGGACCGCAGTTCACTGACCTGGACCATGGACCATGGATCATGGACTGCAGTTCACGACCTGGACCACGGACCATGGATCAGGACCGCAGTTCACTGACCTGGACCATGGACCGTGGATCATGGACCGCAGTTCACTGACCCTGGATCATGGACCGTGGATCATGGACCGCGTTCACTGACCTGGACCATGGACCATGGATCATGGACCGCAGTTCACTGACCCTGGACCATGGACCGTGGATCATGGACGCAGTTCACTGACCCTGGACCATGGACCGTGGATCATGGACGCAGTTCACTGACCCTGGATCATGGACCGTGGATCATGGACCGCAGTTCACTGACCCTGGACCTGGACCATGGATCGCGGACCGCAGATTCACTGACCCTGGACCATGGACCGTGGATCATGGACCGCAGTTCACTGACCCTGGATCATGGACCGTGGATCATGGACGCAGTTCACAACCCTGGACCATGGACGTGGATCATGGACCGCAGATTCACTGACCCTGGATCATGGACCGTGGATCATGGACGCAGTTCACTGACCTGGACCATGGACCGTGGATCATGGACCCGCAGTTCACTGACCTGGACCATGGACCGTGGATCATGGACCGCAGTTCACTGACCCTGGATCATGGACCGTGGATCATGGACCGCAGTTCACTGACCCTGGACCATGGACCGTGGATCATGGACCGCAGTTCACTGACCCTGGACCATGGACCATGGATCATGGACCGCAGTTCACTGACCCTGGATCATGGACCGTGGATCATGGACCGCAGTTCACTGACCCTGGATCATGGACCGTGGATCATGGACCGCAGTTCACTGACCCTGGATCATGGACCGTGGATCATGGACCGCAGTTCACTGACCCTGGATCATGGACCATGGATCATGGACCGCAGTTCACTGACCCTGGACCATGGACCATGGATCATGGACCGCAGTTCACTGACCCTGGATCATGGACCATGGATCATGGACCGCAGTTCACTGACCCTGGACCATGGACCATGGATCATGGACCGCAGTTCACTGACCCTGGATCATGGACCGTGGATCATGGACCGCAGTTCACTGACCCTGGACCATGGACCATGGATCATGGACCGCAGTTCACTGACCCTGGATCATGGACCGTGGATCATGGACCGCAGTTCACTGACCCTGGATCATGGACCGTGGATCATGGACCGCAGTTCACTGACCCTGGATCATGGACCGTGGATCATGGACCGCAGTTCACTGACCCTGGATCATGGACCGTGGATCATGGACCGCAGTTCACTGACCCTGGATCATGGACCGTGGATCATGGACCGCAGTTCACTGACCCTGGACCATGGACCATGGATCATGGACCGCAGTTCACTGACCCTGGATCATGGACCGTGGATCATGGACCGCAGTTCACTGACCCTGGATCATGGACCGTGGATCATGGACCGCAGTTCACTGACCCTGGATCATGGACCGTGGATCATGGACCGCAGTTCACTGACCCTGGATCATGGACCGTGGATCATGGACCGCAGTTCACTGACCCTGGACCATGGACCGTGGATCATGGACCGCAGTTCACTGACCCTGGATCATGGACCGTGGATCGTGTACCATGCATCGTAAACCGTGGACCATGGACTGTGGGACCTGGAGATAATAATTTCTTAACCTACTGAATAAGTCTCAAGTGAAACTGTCGAGCTAGAATATCAAAAGGTCCCGTATTTTGTGTTCTGGTGAGGTATAAGTCACCTTGATGTTTGTTGAGGAGGCCTCGTGATGCGCCGACAAGGACCCGTCTGTGTCTTACTGCGTCTGCTCTCCGTTACAAAATTAAACCTGCCACTCATTAATCTTTAAATATAAAAGTGAGCTGTAGTGGTGTGGTTGGGGATAAACAAGGCTGTTATGATGTATGTTAAATTTGTTTATCATAAGTTGTGATTAATGGTAAAGTGTAGTAATGGTAAAGTTAAGTAATATACAGTAATTATTGTAAGAACATTGGCGCCAGTTGGCCTAGTTACAGTGTGGTGTACGTGATGCTTCACTCAGGAAATACCGCCTCTCTCTTCCTACCTCGGTTTAAACTTGTCCCCTGGTGTTATGTCCCCGGGTGGTATGTGTACAAGCAACAGGTATAATACTCACCGACGGAAGGACGGTGCTTGATTGGTTGATTTGTCAACTAATAATAGATAAGTAATCAAAGCGTTTTATGAATTTACTACATTTTCCTCGCTTATTGTAGGCAAGGTTTGTTGTCTTGTCTGCATTTCGTCTTTCAATAATTATCAAATAACCAATACATGATATACATGATAACAACAGAGGACCAGTTTTAGCTGGGCTTGGGGTACTATGGTCCTTCTCGAGGGAATTTTCAGCATCCATGAGTCAGCCGCCACAAGGTACCATAGTAAACAGGGCTGGTGTGTACAGGGTCCAAGTCTGGTGCACACATGTTGGTGACCCTTTACATGAGAGAGAGGGTCAGAGGTCAGTTTTATTCTCGGCGTGCAGGAGGACTCTACATACACCTATTCTTACTTCACTACAGGAGGACCCTACATACACCTATTCTTACTTCACTACAGGAGGACTCTACATACACTTATTCTTACTTCACTACAGGAGGACTCTACATACACCTATTCTTACTTCACTACAGGAGGACCCTACATACACCTATTCTTACTTCACTACAGGAGGACTCTACATAACCTTATTCTTACTCCACTACAGGAGGACTCTACATACACTTATTCTTACTCCACTACAGGAGGACTCTACATACACCTATTCTTACTTCACTACAGGAGGACTCTACATACACTTATTCTTACTCCACTACAGGAGGACTCTACATACACCTATTCTTACTTCACTACAGGAGGACTCTACATACATACACCTCTTATTCTTACTTCACTACAGGAGGACTCTACATACACTTATTCTTACTTCACTACAGGAGGACTCTACATACACCTATTCTTACTTCACTACAGGAGGACCCTACATACACCTATTCTTACTCACTACAGGAGGACTCCTACATACACTATTCTTACTTCACTACAGGAGGACTCTACATACACCTATTCTTACTTCACTACAGGAGGACTCTACATACACTATTCTTACTTCACTACAGGAGGACCCTACATACACCTATTCTTACTTCACTACAGGAGGACTCTACATACACTTATTCTTACTTCACTACAGGAGGACCCTACATACACCTATTCTTACTTCACTACAGGAGGACTCTACATACACCTATTCTTACTTCACTACAGGAGGACTCTACATACACCTATTCTTACTTCACTACAGGAGGACTCTACATACACTATTCTTACTTCACTACAGGAGGACCCTACATACACCTATTCTTACTTCACTACAGGAGGACTCTACATACACCTATTCTTACTTCACTACAGGAGGACTCTACATACACCTATTCTTACTTCACTACAGGAGGACTCTACATACACCTATTCTTACTTCACTACAGGAGGACTCTACATACACCTATTCTTACTTCACTACAGGAGGACCCTACATACACTTATTCTTACTTCACTACAGGAGGACTCTACATACACCTATTCTTACTTCACTACAGGAGGACCCTACATACACCTATTCTTACTTCACTACAGGAGGACTCTACATACACCTATTCTTACTTCACTACAGGAGGACTCTACATATACCTATTCTTACTTCACTACAGGAGGACTCTACATACACCTATTCTTACTTCACTACAGGAGAACTCTACATACACCTATTCTTACTTCACTACAGGAGGACCCTACATACACCTATTCTTACTTCACTACAGGAGGACTCTACATACACCTATTCTTACTTCACTACAGGAGGACCCTACATACACTTATTCTTACTTCACTACAGGAGGACTCTACATACACTTATTCTTACTTCACTACAGGAGGACTACATACACCTATTCTTACTTCACTACAGGAGGACCCTACATACACCTATTCTTACTTCACTACAGGAGGACTCTACATACACTTATTCTTACTTCACTACAGGAGGACCCTACATACACCTATTCTTACTTCTACAGGAGGACTCTACATACACTTATTCTTAATTCACTACAGGAGGACTCTACATATACCTATTCTTACTTCACTACAGGAGGACTCTACATACACTTATTCTTACTTCACTACGGAGCACTCTACATACACCTATTCTTACTTCACTACAGGAGGACTCCACATACACCTATTCTTACTTCACTACAGGAGGACTCTACATACACCTATTCTTACTTATACCAGGAGGACTCTACATACACTTATTCTTACTTCACTACAGGAGGACCCTATACACCTATTCTTACTTCACTGAGGGACTATACATACACTTATTCTTACTTCACTACAGGAGGACCCTACATACACTTATTCTTACTTCACTACAGGAGGACTCTACATACACCTATTCTTACTTCACTACAGGAGGACCCTACATACACCTATTCTTACTTCACTACGGAGGACTCATACACTTATTCTTACTTCACTACAGGAGGACTCTATACACCTATTCTTACTTCACTACAGGAGGACTCTACATACACTTATTCTTACTTCACTACAGGAGACCCTACATACACCTATTCTTACTTCACTACAGGAGGACTCTACATACACTTATTCTTCACTACAGGAGGACTCTACATACACCTATTCTTACTTCACTACAGGAGGACTCTACATACACTTATTCTTACTTCACTACAGGAGGACTACATACACCTATTCTTACTTCACTACAGGAGGACTCTACATACCTTATTCTTACTTCACTACAGGAGGACCCTACATACACCTATTCTTACTTCCTACAGGAGGACTCTACATACACTTATTCTTACTTCACTACAGGAGGACTCTACATACACCTATTCTTACTTCACTACAGGAGGACTCTACATACACTTATTCTTACTTCACTACAGGAGGACTCTACATACACCTATTACTTCACTACAGGAGAACCTACATACACTTATTCTTACTTCACTACAGGAGGACTCTACATACACCCTATTCACCTATTATTACTTCACTACAGGAGGACTCTACATACACTTATTCTTACTTCACTACAGGAGGACTCTACATATACCACCTATTCCTACTTCACTACAGGAAGACCCTACATACACCTATTCACCTATTCTTACTTCACTACAGGAGGACCCTACATACACCTATTCACCTATTCTTACTTCACTACAGGAGGACCCTACATACACCTATTATTACTTCACTACAGGAGGACCCTACATATACCTATTCTTACTTCACTACAGAAGGACCCTACATGCAGCATTCTTACTTCACTACAGGAGGACCCTACATATACCTATTCTTACTTCACTACAGGAGGACCCTACATACACCTATTCTTACTTCACTACAGGAGGACCCTACATACACCTGTAG